GTCCGAGAGACCCAGGGCCGAAGGGAGAAGCCAGGCTTAGTCTCAGAGGTGGCCTCCTTCACGCGAAGCTGGGCGCCCCCCCCCCCCCGCCCCCGCCAAAGCCGCCTCCCTCCCTCTGCGCTGTGCGTGGTGGCCGCGGCTGGCCGGCCCAGATGTCACCGCCGAGGGACATCAGGAACTCAGCCGGTGTTGGCGAAATTAAATCGCCCCGGAAAAAAAAAATCAATGTTAGTGAAATTAAGTCACTTGCTCTTAAAAGAAAAACAGAATAGTCGTTTTTCATATTTACTGGGCTGTTTCCTCACTCTAGATCGTTATCGTTCTGTGCGTGTGTGTGTGTGTGTGTGTGTGTGTGTGCGCGTGTGTGTTTAATCCTCACCCGAGGATATTTTTCCACTGATTTTTACAGAGAGTGGAAGAGAGAGGGAGAGACAGAGAGAAACATCGATGTGAGAGAAACACATCGATTGGTTGCCTCCTGCCATCAAACCGGGGGAATTTGGTTCATGGGCTGACACTCTATCCACTGAGCCACACTGGCTAGGACTGTGTGTGTGTGTGTGTGTGTGTGTGTGTGTGTTGTGTGTCCCTTTCAAGGAGAAGCAGTGATGGACACAGATGACCCAGGAGGCTTTTAGATCTTGGGGATCCAGGGCTAGGCCACAGGTTGGTGAATCAGAAAGGACTCATCCAGCGTCTTAGCGCCGATTAGCTTTTGCAGGAAGAGACCAAGTGCAGCTGAAGGATGACTCAGAAGGCAAGTTAGGGCCTCGCCGTAGTCTCCTGCTGTCAGGGGTGTCGGTTACATCATTCCCGTCACTCGGCCGGGATGGCCAGCGTAGAGCTGCAAGGATCGTCAGCAGACCCAGCGTGATAGGGACATTCTTTTTACAGAGAGAGATTATATTGTTATTGATCGCAGAGAGGAAGGGGGAGAGGGAGAGAGAGAAACATCCATGATGAGAGAGAATCATGGATCGGCCGCCTCCTGCACGCCCCCCACTGGGGATGGAGCCCGCAACCCGGGCATGTGCCCTGACCGGGAATCGAACCGTGACCTCCTGGTTCCTAGGCGGACACTCAACCGCTGAGCCACGCCGGCCGGGCTCAACTGGCAACATTTCTGAGTCATCAGCTATTAATTATATTTAGATGGTACAGTCCTCATCTCTGTGGTCCTGTATTTAGTCTCCACACGGAGCCAAGCCAGCCAGGCCCCAATCCCTTCGCCCTGGGTTGCTTGCCCCCGTCCGGATCCCATAGAAATCTCCCCAACCCTCCTCCTTGGGGGCCCACGCAGGCTTGGTGTCTACCCCCCTTCCCCGCTGCATCTGGGGACCCAACACTAGGTCACGGGTTGGTGAATCCCCGCTCCATCTTGCCTGTCCCTTGGATGTGGTCCCACTCACTCTCTTCTCTTTTAAAGTGTGGACACAGCCCGGCCAGTCGGCGTGGCTCAGCGGTTGATTGTCGACCTAGGAGCCAGGAGGTCACGGTTCGATTCCCACTCAGGGCACAGGCCCGGGTTGCGGGCTCGATCCCCCAGGAGGGGGCGTGCAGGAGGCAGCCGATCCGTGATTCTCATCATTGATGTTTCTCTCTCTCTCCCCCCTCTCCCTTCCTCTCTGAAATGAATAAAAAACAGATTTAAAAAAAATAATAAAATGTGGACACCAACCCAGTTTGGGGGGCTCGCCTCTGGCCCCTTGCTCTACTAAGCCTGCCTGAGTGTGGTCCAAGACCGCCTGGATATTTTATTTTTGCAGTCACAACACCCCGTTATCACACCCAGAAATTGTATCCAATTAAATCTCCCAAGTCTTGTTCGCACCTCCTACCCGTGTGCCTTTCTTTTCTTTCTTCTTCTTCTTCTTTTTTTTTTTTTGCACCCAAGTGTCCAAACACATAACTTCCTCTCGATGGCAACCCCCATCTGTTGATCTTTTTAGCTCTCGCCTCTGTCGCGCAGCGCCTTTGCCGTCTCTCCCGGGAGCTTGTCCTCCTGGGATTAGATAAACATTTCCCTTCTGCCTTCGTTCAAGCGATTGATAAAAAATGACGATGGGTGCTGGGTCGGGGTGCGGAAAGAGCCCTGTGACCTTTCCTGGGGGGAAGGATTTCGCTGGGCTGGGCTGCTTCGGGGTGCGCCTGCACCGCCCCCCAGGACCCGGGCCCCGCAGCGCCATCTGCTGGCTGCGTGGATTCACCTGGTGGAAGCCGGGGTGCTGCCCACCTGGCTGGTGGTGTGGGAGGCTGTCCGCCCCCCCGCCCCCAAGGTGTGGTTGTTCGGCTCCCTGGGGAGGGCATAACCAAGGGATTCTAGCTTCTGTGTGCTCATTCACCCCAAAGGTCACCAGAGCCTGGCCAGCGTGGCTCAGTGGTTGAGCGTCGACCTATGAACCAGGAGGTCACGGTTCGATTCCCGGTCAGGGCACATGCCCAGGTTGTGGGCTCGATCCCCAGTAGGGGGCGTGCGGGAGGCAGCCGATCCATCATTCTCTCTCATTGATGTTTCTCTCTCTCTCCCTCTCCCTTCCTCTCTGAACTTTTTATATATATATATATATCAGAACTGGGAGTTATGAACAAGCATCTGAGGGTGCTATTAAAATACGGAGACTTATAGAATATTGCACTTTGGGCGTTTTAAGATCAGAACAGAATTTGGAATCGCCGTCAGAGCAGGCAGAGTTTTGTGGCGGTTTTTTGGGGGAGACCCAGGAAAAGAGCTGGTGCCCCTCAGTTGCGGCAAACACCAGCTTTCTTCTGGCTCCGGATCCTGTAGGTGGTGGGGACACGGGGGCTTGTGCTCCCTCCCGTCGTCGAGTGAATTCTGGGTAAAGTTTCCGCTTCTTCAATGAGGAGGCGGCGTGTAAACATCTGCCCCGCCTTTGTAAGTTCTTCCACACATGGTAGCACTGGGCGTTACAGTGTTAACCTTCCCAGCCCTAGGACTGTACCTTCTCTAGGCATTTTAAAAAAATTGATTTTGAGGGGAGAAATCGGGGTGGGGAGAGATGTTGTTTTACTTATATATGCATTCATTGGTTGATTCTTTTTTGTTGTGGTTATTTTGTTTGTTTGTTAATTCTCACCAGAGGATATTTTTTCCCATTGATTTTTTTTACAGAGAATAGAAGGGAGGGGAGAGGAGGTGAAACAGAGGGAGAAGAGAGAGAGGTGGAGAGAGAGAAACATGGATGTGAGAGGGCCACATCCATTCATTGCCTCCTGCATGTGCCCCAATCAGGGCAGGGAATCGAACCCAAAATCCAGGCATGAGGCCCTTGACCGGGAATCGAACCCATGACCCTCCGGTGCGCGGCTGACGTTCCAACCACTGAGCCATGCTGGCTAGGACCATTGGTGGAGTCCTATACACACTCTGATCGGGGATTGAACCCACCACCTCTGTGTATCAGGGTGGTGCCCTAACTAACTGAGCTACCCGGCCAGGGCCAGGACTACCTCCCTCTTCTGCGTGCCTGAGCTGTTCAGTCCTGGTTCCAGGTAGGACAGCGATGGCTCTCGCGTGCGGCGCCGGAGAACAGTTTTTGCCCGTCGACAGTGACTGACGCTTCGTGTTTAATTCCCTGCTCCCGGCGTTCCCCCGTGAAATGCAATCCCTCGCTTACATCCTCACGATTGCCTCCCGTTCCTGAACGTGCCAGGTGGCGGGGACGGTTGTCTGCGGGAGAGACGCATGTATATATACAATGTAAACACGTTCCCATTGACACGTGAAGATAAAAGGCTTAACATGAACTGCGTCTGTTTACACTGAACACAGAAAATTCCACTCGAACAAATTCGACGATAGCAGTATCAGTGTTTGTTATCATAACAGCATCTCCAGCCCCATCTTTTTTTTGTGCTTTTTTTTTTTGGTGGAGTTGCGGTGTACGGAGTAGGCGTGGGTGGAAGGAAAGCGATGCCGTTTCCCTCTGCACGTGGAGGGTTTGCTCAGATCTCAGACGGCGGGGGGGGTGGGGTGGGGCGGGGGGGCGGGGAGGGACTGCCGATTCAGCAGCCTCGGGGGCCGTGGGCTCTAGGGACACTCCCTCTCCCCCCCTTTTTCTTTCTTCTTCTTTTTTTTAACCCATTAAGCACAGTGGAAATACGACTTTCTAAAAAGTATTTTTAATTGATGTCAGAGAGGAAGGGAGACGGGGAGAGAGAGAGAGAGAAACATCCACGATGAGAGAGAATCATGGATCCGCTGCCTCCTGTACGCCCCCTACTGGGGACGGAGCCTGCAACCCGGGCAGGTGCCCTGATCGGGAATCGAACCGTGACCTCGTGGTTCACAGGTCGATGCGCAACCACTGAGCCACACGGGCAGGGCTTGTCTTATTTCTTAATGACAATCTAGGTTTCCTGAAAGCGGGCCCCCTCGTGGGTTGGAAAATGGTTTTCAAAGTGACTTCCTTTTGCCCTGGCCGGTTTGGCTCCGTGGATAAGAGCATCGGCCTGCAGACTGAAGGGTCCCAGGTCCGATTCCGGCCACGGGCAGCACCTACCTCCGTTGCAGGCTCCATCCTGGCCCTGGTCGGGGCGCGTGGAGAAGGCAACCAATCGATGTGTGTCTCTCACATCGATGTTTCTCTCTCTCTCTTTGTCTCTCCTCTTCCCTTCCACTCTCTCTAAAATTCCATGGGAAGCCCCAGCTGGTGTGGCTCAGTGGACAGAGCATCAGCCTGTGGACTGAATGGTCCCGGGTTCCATTCCCGCTCAGGGCACGTGCCAGGGTTGCGGGCTCCATCCCCAGTAGGGGGGCGTGCAGGAGGCAGCCGATCCATGATTCTCTCTCATCATGGATGTTTCTCTCCCTCTCTCTCTCTCTCTCTCTCTCCCTTCGTTTCTCTGAAATCAATGAAAACATACTTTTGAAAAAAATCAATGGGGAAAATATCCTCGCGTGAGGATCAACAACAACAACGAAATAAAAGTCACGACTTGTCACTCACGCGCGCCCCCGCCCCCTTGTGTCCCCTCTGCAGTCTGCGGCCCCGGCATCGACATCCGCAACGACTTCCAGCAGCTGAAGCGCCTGGAGAACTGCACGGTGATCGAGGGCTACCTGCACATCCTGCTCATCTCCAAGGGCGACGACTATCGCAGCTACCGCTTCCCCAAGCTCACGGTCATCACCGAGTACCTGCTCCTGTTCCGCGTGGCCGGCCTGGAGAGCATCGGCGACCTGTTCCCCAACCTCACGGTCATCCGCGGCTGGAAGCTCTTCTACAACTACGCGCTGGTCATCTTCGAGATGACCAACCTCAAGGACATCGGCCTGCGCAACCTGCGCAACATCACCCGCGGCGCCATCCGCATCGAGAAGAACGCCGACCTCTGCTACCTGTCCACCGTGGACTGGTCCCTCATCCTCGACGCCGTGTCCAACAACTACGTGGTGGGGAACAAGTCCCCCAAGGAGTGCGGCGACGTGTGCCCGGGGGCCCTGGAGGGGAAGTCCACCTGCGACCGGACCACCATCAACAACGAGTACAACTACCGCTGCTGGACCCAGGACCACTGCCAGAAAAGTAAGGGCCGCGCTGGGCTGTGCCGGCTTCCTTTCTGCTCCCTCCCCCTCCGCCCCCCCCCCGCCCCCCGCATCCCGCCCCCTCTCTCCTCGCCCTCCCTCCTCTTCCACTTGCACGGCTTGCTTGCGCTGGGCGGTGGGTGGGGTTGTCTTGCATGTAGGACCCGCCGTGGAAGGGGTTTGGGGGGATGGGGTGGTCTTGGTGGGCTTTCTGTAGCTTCCGGGGACTCAAGGGGTGCAGGGCGTGGCGTGGTTGCCACGGAGACCATGTCAACCACACGCTAGAACAGCGATGGCGAACCTATGACACACGTGTCAGAGGTGACACGCGAACTCATTTCTTTGGCTTTTTCTTTGTTGAGTGGCATTTAAATATATAAAATAAATATCAAAAATATAAATCTTTGTTTTACTATGGTTGCAAATATCCAAAAATTTCTGTAGGTGACACGGCACCAGCGTTAAGTTAGGGTTTTTCAAAATGCTGACACGCCGAGCTCAAAAGGTTCGCCATCACTGCGCTAGAAATAAGGCACCGTGTCCCTAGCTGGTGTGGCTCAGTGGACAGAGCGTGGGCCTGTGGACCCAAGGGTCCCGGGTTCGAGCCGGTTCAAGGGCACGTACCTCAGTTGCAGGCTCCTCCTCGGCCAGGGTCCTGGTTCAGGGCAGGTGCGGGAGGCAACCGATGGATGTTTCTCTCACGTCGATGTTTCTCTGTCTTTCCCCCTCTCTTGCACTCTCTCTAAAAGATCAATGGGGCCCTAGCTGGTTTAGTTCAGTGGATAGAGCGTCGGCCTGTGGATTGAAGGGTCCTGGGTTCCAGTCCTGGTCAGGGCACATGCCCAGGTTGCAGGCTCGATCCCCAGTGGGGGGAGTGCAGGAGGCAGCCAATCAGTGATTCTCTCTCATCATTGATGTTTCTCTCTCTCTCTTCCTCTCCCTTCCTCTCTGAAATCAATAAAAATATTTTTTTTAAAAAAAAGACCAATGGGAAAATATTCTTGGGTGAGGATTTAAAAAATAAAATAAAATAAAAATAAGAATTAAAGTCGGCATGAAGGGAGGCGTCCTCTGGGCCCGAAAGCCAAGGGGATGCTGACCGTGTGCGCGAGGCCTGCTTGGGTGGCCTGGCCTGCCCCACCCGGAGGCCTCCGGGACGCTGCCCACGGCAGGGCCCCTGGCACCGCCGCGTCCATCCTGGGCGTGCCCTCCGGCTCTTGGCCGTCACCCCGGGGGCCGGCGCGGCACCTACTTTGTGGGAGATTTATGGTGGAGGAAGAGACATGTTCCCCCTTGAGCAGAGAACAGTGTGTAATCCCCGGGCCGAGCCGGCCAAGCGGGCCCGGGATTGTGAAAGACGGGGTTCCCGGGGTCATTCCCACGGCCGTTGCTACCCAGGGCCCTGTCACCACCACCGTCTCCAGCTCCCAGCTGGCAGGGAGGGCGAGCCTGGGTGGCAGCTCCCCGCTCTCCTCGTCTAAGGATGGGAGGCCTGGGATTGGGGAGACGGAGGGAGACCGTCTTCAAAGCCAAGGCTTGGCCCGTGGCCGCCGATCCTGACTCGGTGCAAGTTATTTGCCGGTGGCCAGCCATGTGCCGGGAAGGACAGGGCGGCTCCTGTTGGAGGACCTAGTTCTTTCTCCCCCCCACCCCCCTGCCCCCCTCTCTCTCTCTGTCTCTCTTTTTCAAAAAAATATTTTTATTGATTTCAGAGAGGGGGAGAGAGAGAGAGAAACATCAACGATGAGAGAGAATCATGGATCGGCTGCCTCCTGCACGCCCCACACTGGGGATGGAGCCCGCAACCCAGGCGTGTGCCCTGACCGGGAATCGAACCCTGACCTCCTGGTTCATAGGTGGACGCTCAACCACTGAGCCACACCGGCCGGGCAGGAGCTGGTTCTCTTTTTCTGGGGGATTTGCCTCAGCACTGCCTGCTGTTTGCTTGTCTCAGGTGCTTTTTGGCTCCTGAGTTCTAGTGTGGGCCCGGACTCCCCCATTTTTTCTTGGATAATCCCGTGCCTTGCTGCTAAACGGAGTCCTGTAGTGTTGTTGGGTTTTTATATTATTTTTATTTTTATTGATTTCAGAGAGGAAGGGAGAGGGGAAGAGAGAGAGAAACATCCATGATGAGAGAGAATCATGGATCGGCTGCCTCCTGCACGTCCCCTACTTGGGATCGAGCCCGAAACCCAGGCACGTGCCCTTGTCCAGAATCGAACCCGGGACCCTTCAGCCCACAGGCTGACGCTCTATCCACTGGACCACACCGGCCAGGGCCATTATTTCATCTTAACATTTCTCCTCCTTTTTTTTTTTTTAAAATGTAAATCACCTTGGGACGGGTGTTCCTTTTTATGAAATGTAACCAGCTCCCATAGGCCGGGGCCCTGCCGAGGCCACGGGTCAGGGTGGGGACCTGCAGGTGTGCGGGCGGGGCCCAGAGAGGCCTGCGGCTCCGGGAAGCGAAGAGGGTCAACGGTGAGGGCCCTGGCTTTGTGTGATCCGTAAGAGCTTGTCTCTGCCCCGTCTTCCCTCCCCCTGCCCGCCCCCGGACGGTCAGCTGTCCCTGAGTGGGGGAGCTTTATTTAGAAAGGGGTCACGTGCCCCTGGCCGCATCCCTCTGCCTTTTATAGTCAGGCGCGGAGACCACACGGTGCCCTGCCGGCCGGCCCACGCCTGCGACCAGGAGGGTGAGGCCGCGGGTCCCCGGGGCCCTGGGCCACCGCCTGGCTCCTTCCTCCCGAGAGAGAGCCTGGCTCTGGGCTCAGTGTCACCCAGTGGAAGTGCGGCTCCTCCGGGCTCCCCGACATCGGGCGTTTGTTTTTAAATAAGGCTGTCAGCTTCGGGGACTCAGGACGCGTCCGAATGGCTCCCCTGGGCCGATGGCTGCAATCCTAGGAATTTGGAAACCAGCTGGGGTGCCTTCCAATCTCCCCAGTGAGACCGGCTCATCACATTGTTTCTAGTTTCTTCCTTTTTTAAAAAAAAAATCTTTATTGAAAGTATTACATATGCCTCCCTCTGCCCCCCCATTGACGTCTTTTTAGCCCATCCCCGCCCACCCACCCACCCACCTCCCTCGCCTTCAAGCTTCTCTCTTTTGTTGCATGAATATTTCTCTCTCTCTTTTAAAAATCTATTTGTGTTTTCATATGCAGAGAGAGAGAAACATCGATTTGTTGTTCCACGTGTTGACGCATTCATCGGTTGTGGCTCGTACGTGCCCTGACCAGGGATTGAACCCACAGCCTTGGCGTACGGGGCCCATGCTCTAACCCAGTGGTCGGTAAACTGCGGCTCGAGAGCCACATGCGGCTCTTTGGCCCCTTGAGTCTGGCTCTTCCACAAAATACCACGTGCGGGTGCACACATACAGTGCGATTGAAACTTCGTGGCCCATGCACAGAAGTCGGTATTTTGTGGAAGAGCCACACTGAAGGGGCCAAAGAGCCGCATGTGGCTCGCGAGCCGCAGTTTGCCGACCCCTGCTCTAACCCACTGAGCTACTAGGCAGGGCCTCCTGTTTCTCTCCTGCTTCTCTTGTGTGTACGCCAGTGGGCAGGGATGACCTGGCCCGTGTGGGCCCGTGGCTAAGCTTGCCCTGGGCTGCCTCGCTCAATTCGAGGGCATGGGGTGGTTCAAAGGCTAGGTTTGGGCTGGATGGGGTGGCAGGGGGTGGGGGCGTGGGGCCAGGAGCAGGACTGGGACACAGGCCTCCTTCTGGCTCTAGGAGGCGGGGCCTCTGAGCACCATCCTGGGTGGGGGGCCCCCTGGTTTGGAGCAGACGGGAGGCCGCCAAGGTTGCCAGGGATCGCCGGTGGCAGGTGATGCGGTCTTTGCCTGCCACGCCAATAGGGCAACATTGACGTTTTCAAGAACATACACTTTTGTACAAAGTGGGACTGAAAAAAAAGTAAAGGACATTCCGGTACGGACCAGTGGCAAAGGCTGGAGAGCAGCGGGGTCACCGTGTCCCCCACACGGGGTCGAAGCTGCCAGGACTCATCCTCCGTCCGTGACACAGGGACGGGCAGAGAAGGCACCAGACAGACCGGCCAGCGCATAGTCGGTGCTCAGGAAATGGTGGCAGCTGCTATTTGAAAAACGTTAAGCGAACCCTGGCCCGTGTGGGTCAGTGGATAGAGCGTCGGTCTGCGGACTGAAGCATCTCAGATTTGATTTCTGATCAAGGGCACGTAGATCCTGGCTGGGGCTCGTATGGGAGGCAACCCACCGATGTCTCTCTCACATCGATGTTTCTCTCTCTCTGTCTCTCCCCCTCCCTTCCACTCTCTATAAAAATGAATGGGAAATATTCTCCGTTGAGGGTTAAGAACAACAAAACAATTCAGCGAAACTCCAGGATCTAAGATCTAAAACCCCTCACGTGAAGCCGGGCGGACCCGTGTCTGTCTCTTGCCGTAGCTGCCGTGGTTTCTCTCTGTTGCTTCTTCTAAATTGCAAAAAAATGCCGTTATTATAAATAGCATGGCGCCGTGGAGGCGCGGCCGGCTCCTGCGAATTTCATCTAAATTGTTCAAATTCTTGTTTCTGTCCAGATAAGCCGTATCTTGAAAGAACGTTCGGTGGGATGAGCCCATCTCTATGGGAAGCCGGTGGGGCCTGCACGGTTACGTGTAAACTCTATCTGTTCGGTTCTCCCACCCCCTGAATGTATGTACCCTGCTTCCAAAATGGGTGTTGGGGAGAACGGAAGAAACAGGAACGGGATTCTCGTTGGCTCCTGACCGTGGAGAGTGCCTTTGGAAAAGGTGGCTTTACATTTTTCGTTTTCCTTCTTTATTTTTTTGGGGGACAGCAGTCGGGCGGTGGCAGAGTGGGAACAGTGTGGGGTGAAGAGAGCAGGGACGTACATGTTTCTCGGTGCCGCGGGCCACTCTCGTGTGGTCAGGGGAGCCAGCCCTCGGGGGCAGGCTGGACCCGTGCCTGCTGGCCTCTTCTTTGGGTAATACCTGCTCCTGTGTGTGTGTGTCATGC